TAATAACAATAATAATATATAGATATGTGTATAAAAATTTATATCATTGCATCGTGTTATTATAAATTTAATTCTAGAAAAATATTTTTTAATTATTGTCAGATGTGTATGATAACTATTAATTATCACGAGTATACCGTGGACATATAATTCAAAAAGAAAATTATAATTGTTATTACGATGATCAGTAGTGATTCGACAGAAAAGAAAAAATAATTGTTATAATTTATTATTACATATTATTTTATCTTGTTTCGGGATTTTTTTTTTTTTTTAATTTGTTCTCTTTTGCGCGTTTCATTTTAATTCGTTCAATAGCTTTTTTTCTTTTCTGTTGTATAAATGATAAAAATAATTGTTATCTGAATAGAATAAAGATGTTTTCTAGGTATGCCTGTCACATAGACGAACAAAATGAAACCATTTCTCAAGCCCTTTTAACTTCGAGATTGTACACGATCATGAGTTATGATTTTAAAATAGGTATTAACGATTCTTTCAAATACACTGCCTCTTTAAACAATATCCCACAGGTATTTATATTTTGTATTCATTATTTTAATAATCTTAATTTTTTATATTTTATTAACAATTTCTTGTGTTTTTTTTTCTTTGTTTTAACAGGATATCGGCCAAATACAAGACATGAGAATAAATCGTAAATTGAAGAACAACGAATTCTTCAAAACTTCGGTCAGACGTTTGTCAAAGAACGATTATTTCTTTCCAACAAATCCCCTTTATGAATTTTCTTGTACACCGTCAACCTTTCTCGAGGATTTTGATTCGATTAGAGAAAATAAAACTCTTTGTACTTTTGGTCAATTTATTGATCCGTCCAAGGTCAAAAAAAAGAAACAAATCTATTATATTTAATTGCATTTAAAAATATAAATATATTATGTACATATATATATTGATTTTTCATTGTAATAATATTTTATTCTAGGAAAAAACAAATCGAACGAAAAATCGACAATCGTATTTATCCAAATTAAATAAATTAGAATTGACGGATGATGATATTGCAGAAGAAAGATTAAAATTTGTAGCAGACGAAGTATCCTGGGATGGTGAAACTTTTGAAAAAGTAATATGTAAAAATACGAAGGAAAATGATCAAAAGATAATAGTAAAGGTACCGTTGCTCGATTATGCGCAAAGTCCAGAACCATATCAAATATTAAATATCGAAAATTGCGTTAAGAAATGTATCGTTAGTATGCCTAGAAAGGAAGTATGTTTTAACAAGAATATGCAAGTAGAGTATAACATAACATTGACGTTTTGGTTATATCTAGTAATTAGAGTATTTATCGGTAAGTGTATTAGAATAATTTTTATTAATATTTTAATATAATGTATTGCACAGATTTTGAATAATTGAAAATATTTCATTATTTTAGGAATAATCGGTGGAACAACATTTGCTATGTTTGAAGGAGCAGTTATTGCTATATTGAGAGAACAAGAAGCAGATTATGGTCTTCAAAGAATTTATGGAAGTATCGGTGGTATGATATCATCACCGTTATCTGGTCTTTTGATAGATTATGCTAGCAGAGATAAAGGATACACGGATTTTAGGTAAATTCTTTTTAAAAAGAAACAATATATATATATTATATTGATTTAAAAAAAAAATATATATATATATTTATTTATATTATTTTCATTTGCACAAATTATGTTCTCTTTTTTTCTCTTCTTCTTCTTCTTCTTCCATAGACCCGCATTTTATTTATACGCCGGTTTGAAACTCATATCGGGTTTATTAATGTTAGCAATTAATTTGGAATTCAAATCACCAGCCACCAACGTTGTAAGCGACGTTCTTACAGTATTAAAAAACGTCGAAGTTGTTGCATTGTTCATAGCATGTTTTATTCTTGGTAAGAACAATATTGTAATATATAAAATAAAAAGATAAAATATAATATTGATTATTATTATTATTAACATCTAGGACGAATATAACAAAGTAAATAAAAGTTTCTATATTTCAGGAACCGCTTGGGGATACATCGAGTCATTCCTTTTTTGGTTGATACAGGATTTAGGAGGTTCAAGATCACTCATGGGAATTACCATAACAGTTGGTGGCATTGCAGGAATTCCTTTGCTCGTTCTTTCCGGACCGATCATATCGAAGATCGGTCATGCTAATGTTCTTTTCATTGGTTTTGTCTTTTATGCTGTTAGGCTTTGCGGTAAATACTTTTTGTTTTTATTTTTTCGTAAATAAAAAATTAGTTGCACATATTCGAAAAAAAAAAGATATATTTATATTAATAATATTTATTATCGATTATATTATAGGTTACTCATTGATATACAATCCATGGTTTACCTTGATTTTTGAAGCACTCGAATCTGTAACATCGTCTCTCAGTTTTACGGCAGCTGTTACTTACGCAGCAAAATTATCTACTACCACAACGGATACTTCGATACAAGGGTTACTAGGTGGACTGTATTATGGTGTTGGTAAGATAATATATGTATTATATAATATATATATATATTTCTATCTCTTAACTCTTTGAGGGGTAAATTCATTTTTACGAAATTTAACAAGAAAAAGATTTATTTTAATTATTAAAACAAATTTGTATTACCCCCCCCCCCCCAAAAAAAACAACAAGAATAAAAAGATTCTTTTGTTTATTCAATTATATAGAAATAATATTACTTCGAAGTTGTGCTTCAAAAAGAAATTTGAATCTTTCGAAGATAACCTATTGTACATATTTAAGTAAAAAGAAGATGGTGGACACTCTTCAATTTTATCAT